TCTATGTGAAGCAAAGAACCTTTAACTTAACACTCTCTCATTCCAGTGAATTGGTTGGGGGCAACTTGGGATTCAGCATCTTGCCTCAGGATATTCAACATGCTTCTCTCAACTGTTTCCTTGTTTCAGTCTGAGTGAAGCTAAGCTAATTGACTGCATGCATAAAGAAGAGTTGCAAAGATCTTCTTACTGAATTCTTAGAATTTTAAAAGGTTTAATAGGTTTTCAAATTACTTAAACACTGGAAGCAGCATAACACAGTACACACATCATCCAAAAGCAAAGGCAAAATTATTCAGTACTTAGTTAAAACTTTGTTAGGGTCTCACTTACTTGTAACTGATAAGGTTTCAGTGTCTCCTGGCTCTCAGGCACATCCATGGCTCCCTCATCACATCTGGTGCCAAGATGGCAACAGCTGGAACACCAAACTCAAGGCTTTAAAACGACAGGCCACAAACCAGCTGCTGGCACCAAGATAGCTGCTTTCACCTCCTGCCATCCTTTTGTGGCTTTTAAATGTATTTATTCATTAATCCATTTTCTTAATTCCATATTCAATTCAGAGTTGCAAGGGGCAGGAGCCTCTCCAACAACCCTGGATGGGTTGCCAATCTGTTCCAGGGCTAACACATAAAGACAGACAACTGTTCACACTCACATTCACACCTATGCCCAATTTAGAATCACCAATTAAGATAACCCCATGCATGTCTTTGGAGTGTGGGAGGAAGCTGGAGTACCAGGCGGACACACAAAGAAAGGTCCAGTTGGATTCAAACAATTTGAGCTATTTAATTGTAAAGTTTTATCATCTACAGACTGCAAATATTCAAAACAAAATATAATTTATATATAATTACAGTATGCTGTATTGTTTAATGACAAATTTTTATTTGTACTTTATACAAGAACAAATAATGGATTATATAAAGGTTATTCAAAGGCACCATGGATGTATTTTCTTCATTTTTAGGTAATTTTCTCAGTTTCGGTGTATTTTATTATAGGGTGTTCTATATTTAGCCTTAAATGACAATATGTTGTCAACTTGAAACCTTTCTCCTAAACCTCACAGACCAAACTTTCTACATAAAACTTTTTTTGTGAAGGTTAAACAGAAAATGTGTAATTTTTCTGGCTTTTATGGACACGAAAATTTCCGATATACTCATCAAATTCTTTTCAAAGAAAATAGCTAATGATTACATTCATATTTATGAAAAGCATTCTGAGACACTTGATAATATATTACAGCATTTTATAATTTTTTATAATAATCTACGACGGAGCGTAATGAGTTCAGTATGACACACAAACGTTTTCCAGTTTTAACATTTCCACGTGATTGCTATGTATTCAAATGCAGGGCTAAAGGTTGCAGAGTTTCCTGGGTTGCAGTTAACATTCGAGGAGGGAAAAATAAATACTGACATTTGGGGAAGATTAAATACTAGCGTTCAGAGCCTTTTTTCTGGCTAGACCCCCTGGGGCTTTTTAAGTCCCACATAATGATGACTTTCAGTCCCAGTTGGTCTCCTACAGTGTCCAGACTGTAATGTATAATATCAGTGCAGGCACAGGGCAGTGTTCAGAGTAATGCCAGGCGTTAAAGACAGGAAAAGCTCATACAGAGGTTTTGTAGTTGGTGAATAGATTGTAAAGGACTCTGAGGGTGGACTTCAGGTTCAGGTTGACGACATCTAGAAAAGAAAAAGCAAAGATTATTGAAGTCTGGTGTCCCCGAACTGGTTTGGGGAAGAAAACGATTGCCTTGTCTTGGCACGTTTGATAATTATCTTAATAAGAAAAATTGGATGGCTGGAATACTGAAGAACAAAATAAATAGCTATGCTACCATAAAATCAGATTTAACATGAAAAGGAGCCAGTTCTATCATTGCTGTTAGACTGTTTCCCTCAAAAGGTTATTTGTAATTTTGGAAACTAAATGGTGCTTAAAATATCTCCCAAAACTTTGCAAATTATCCTTAGATGATGTATTACTTCTTACAAAGAGATTCAAAGGCACAAAAGGACTTTCTGTTCTCTCTGCAAGCATCACGTGTTCTACATAAGAGCTTATTTGATTATTAGAATTTACCAAACTAGCCTGCCTTAACAGAAACTGAACATTCAGCTTTCCCTGTTTGGGGCCTCCTCTCTTGTTTACAATGAACCCACAGATGTGGAAACGACAACCTTTACACTGATCAGAGCATTTATACTGCATGCTGTGCGCAGTGCAGTAAATGCTTGAATAAGGTATGCCTCTAAACACAGATATCAAGGTTTTTTTTGCTCAACTGTGTCTTTCAATATCTACATTAACCTGTCACTTCATTAGGTACACCTTGCTAGCACTGTGTTGAACCCCGTCTGCCTTTAGAACTGCCTTAATTATTAATGCCATAGATCCAACGCAGTGCCAGAACATTCATCAGAGATCAGAGATTGGTCCATATTGACATGATAGCATCACACAGCTGCTTCAGGTTTTGCCAGCTACACATCCATGATGTCAGTCACCTGTTCCACCACATTGCAAAGGTGCACAGATCGAGACTGTGGAGGTCATTTGAGTTCACTGAACTCATTGTCACTTTGAGATGATCTGAACTTTGTGACATGGTGCGTTATCCTGCTAGAGGCACTTGTGAGAAGAAGGGTAAACACTGGTTATAACGTGATAGACATGCTCAACAACAACACCCAGGGAAGCTGTGGCATTTATGCTTTAATGCTGTTTATCCCAAATTTGTTGCCTTCCTATCACCTCGAGGCAGTCTGGAGATTTTCCTCTGACCTCTGGCATCAGCAATGTACTTTCTTTTTTTTTTTCAGACCATTCTGCATAAACCCTAGAGATGTTTGTGTGGGAAAATTACAGGGGATCAGGAGTTTCTGAAATACTCAGATGAGCCTGTCTGGCACCAACAACCATGCTACGTTCAAAGTCACTTAAATCACCCTTTCCCCCCACTGAACTTCAGCAGGTTGTCTTGGTTGTCTACATTTCTAAATGCACTCAGTTGTTGCCATGTCATTGGCAATTTGAGTTAACAAGCAGCAGAACAGGTGTATCTAATGAAGTGGAGTATGGTGTATATGCAGTATTTGTGAATTTGCAGTATCCGACAAGCCTATGTAGGCTTGCTATAGCTATTCATTCATTTCATTAATTCATGAATTTGTTCATTGATTTTTTTCTTTACAACAGGAGTTAAAAAAAACCTTGACTAATGACTGAAGGGAAATTCTTCAGCTACAGCTGCAAAGACTGCAAAAGCTGTGCAACTAAATTAACAAGAAAAAAAATACTATTGGTCAAATTTAAATTCAACACAAAGAGGAATTCTGCATGGCAACACAATGGAAAGAAGGAACCGTTGCAATGCTCAGTGGAAGACGTCACCTTAAATTTTGTTCAAGTGATCAATCCGCTGTATCAGATAACATAATGAATACGTTTTTTAACCAAATTCAGACCTTAATGATTTCAAAAGACTAAAATATGACAAATTAAGGAAATCATTTGTCATATTTTGGTCATAAAGCAATAAAGTCTTATTCAATTCATTTTAATTTCCTTTAATCTCTAATAAAAGATATGGATATGACTACAAAATGCAACTTAGAGCTGAACTAACTCAGCAGCTATCCAGTTTTAGAGTGTAAGACAAGGTTTCCACCTACTGGACAACTTTTAAAATTACTGCTGCTGTAGCAGATCAACAATACTAACCCTGTAAATTATGCGATTATGTAATACAACAACAAATACCTTCTGGTCTGGCTTTGGGTTTCTTTAGGCCTCCTTCCTGCATCAGCTCAAAGGCAAATGCCACATTGTGGACCTTAGAGGGGAAATAAAAATGGCAGTTAAAAGCGACTTTCATCAACTACTAAAAATTCTATTTTGACTTTTTAATCTGAAATCACCTTCTGCTCAAAACTCTCAGGCGTGAGGAAGAAGTTATACAGTGGGACAAAATAGTCTTCCAGCAGCCCCATCAGTAAAATCAGGTAAACTCCATCAGCAAACTGGAAACACACACACACACGAATATTGCACATTCTTTAAAATAAAAAACAAGCACACTCTGCTCAAATAAATATTATATTATATGAAAATCACAATCTGAACCAAGGATAAAACATGCATGAAAAATTCATAGATTGTCCTTTGACTTTGATAATAAGGGCCAAAGGTTCTACAGAAATCTTTTTACCTGAGATTCCAGCTCAGTAACTTCCAGATTCAGCTTGTTTAGGTGTTTGTTCACAAAGGTGATGAGTGACTGGAAGCACATTCAGATCATTATTAAGTATTACAACATGACTGCCAACACATGCAAGTCCTAGACATTATTATTGTAGGAAGGAAAGGTATCCTTTTTTACCGTTTTTACCACGTTAAGCTTGTCAGGTGCATGATCCAACAAAGTGTCAAATGCATCTCTCTCTGTGGCGAAAAAACATCACGGTTAAAAGTGTTTAAACGGTTTCATATTTTAGGAATTGTCAACCATGTCAAAAAGAAGACAGATACCGCTATAATCTCCCACCTCTATGTATAGACCTTAGCTGATTGGTTTAGATCAGGAGATCTGATTGGAATATGGTGTCAAAAGGTCTGTTGCCTGTCTGTCTTTTGCTATTAAGAGTCTTCTTTGTTTAATTTTTACTTAAAACTTATTACTGTCATGTTTTGACCTATTCTACTGTGATTAACATAAGGCCAAACTCATCATCAATGATAATCTAAGATCTAAACCCAGATCTATAATCCCAAGCCTATGGACAGGCTTGGGATATCACTGGGTGATATCACTGCCTGAACTCTCTTACGCAGCTTTCTTGTCATTTCTTTAACTATTCTTCAGCAATAGTTCTGCAGGTTCTAGAAAGACGTTCAAAGCTCTTCTTTGGATGTTGACTCGCTGCCTTTTGTTCTGTTCTTGTGTTGAGTGTTGCAGCCCAAGCTCTGAGGAGGCCAATCCATGAGTAATAGCGATCTATTATTTTATTTTTTATGCTTTTACTGCACTGGTAGTGTGTTTGAGATTATTGTCATGCTGGAAAATGAAGCTGTTGCCAATCAGAAACTTTACAAATGCTGACGCATTGTGAATCAAAATCTGATGTTCCACTGTCACATGTCTGTAGACACTCACTGTTTTACCTCTCTCCTTACTTCCTCCGCATATAGTGATGATAATCTGAACCAAAAATTAGATATTTGAAATGATCACTCCATAAGACCCATATCCACTGATTTTCAGTCCAGTAGTTGTGTCATCTGGCACACCTCAGCCTTTTATCTCTGTTTCGCTTCTTGAAGAATGGCTTCTTGACAGCCACCCCTCCGTTTCAGACCATTTTAGAAGGCTTCAGTGAACAGCAGATGGATCAACTGAAAGTCCAGATGCATCGCTAAGGTCTTTGCTGGATTTTTGCCATTTCTAAAGGAAATGACTTTCAGTCATGTTTATCTCCTGTAGATCATTTTTAGGCCTGTCATTTCTCCTCTTGTCCTCCTCGTTTCCAGTTTCTGAACAGTTTTTTTTTTAACTTCAGATATGTCATGTTTTCAATTAATGGCTCTTTTGGAAACACATTGTTGGTCCAAGAATATTATTTTGTATTATGTGTTTATGTAACAGGCTGCTAGCAAAAATTTGCCTAAAGATAAAATTTAAAATAGTTTCTTTGCTGAGTTGTCTGATATGTGTAGACACACCACTAGCTCATCCCTTAGTTAGGTGCCTTTTTAAAAAAAACTTGAATGATTCATCTGTTTGTCTTAAACAACTAATATTAACTAATGTACTTGCTTTTTATTCACTAAAAAGAACAAATACATTCCTCTGAAATTGGTAAAAGGACTGGTTCTTATATAGCATTTGTTACTATATCTGAACTCTATACAACATGCCTCATTCACTCAAGACCTTTTTTCTATGTCTAGGTGCTTTTCATCTAACACACTGATGGATGCATCAGAGAGCAACTTGGGGTTAGTATTTTGCCTAAGGATATTTGGCATGCAGACTCGAACCACTAACCTTCTAATTAGTAGAGGACCTGCTCTACCTGCTGATCTACAGCGACCTCAAACTGGTTACGTCTGGACTACAAATGAGTGAAACAGCAGCCAGTGTCCAAAGAAAAACCTTGAAAGACATCCAGAAAGCCTGGAGAACTATTACTCAAGACCACTTTCAAAAAAATATAAGAATGCCTCCTTGAAAGCAAACTAAAACATGCTTGTTTATGACTCTCATATAGTATGATTTCCATTAGGTAAAGCAGGGGTGGGAGAACTCCAGGCCTAAAGGGACGGTTTCCTGCAGGTTTTAGATGTGTCCTTGATCCAACACAGCTGATTTAAATGGCTAAATTACCTCATCGGCATGTCTTGAAGTTCTCCAGAGGTCTGGTAATGAACTAGTCATTTGATTCAGGTGTGCTGACCCAGGGTGATATCTAAAACCTGCAGGACACCAGCCCTTGAGACCTGGAGTTCCCCACCCCTGAGGTAAAGGCTGGAGCCAGGCTAAGTCTTTACTGAGCTATTAATATTTCATTTATAAAAATAATTGAACATTTTCCCAAGATAATGATTGTTTTAACAAAAATAATAAATGCTAAATAAATGAAGTTCAGTATTTCCACAGTGTTAAAGAGATGTGTTCAGAAGCTCACCAAATCTTCCCATCATCATTCTGAAAAACAAAAAATGAGAAGAAAATATCAACAACAATTCTTTTTCTCTGTGCACCTCGTTTTCTAGCCTCCAGTTATGATGCAATGCATCAGATGCTAGTAATACTTAAAAGCATAACTACTAAGAATCAGCTCTTACTCTGTGGTGCTCGTCAGCTCCTTGGTCATTAGAGCTGTCTGTAGGATGCCTTCTCGTTTCTGCACAGACATGCGATAAATTCTACTGATTACATTATTACATGAGAGAATAAATACATTTGATGATACACCATTATGATAATCACATGGGCAGTAAAAAAAAAAAAAAAGAAAGATGAAGAGAGATAGAAACAGCTGTCACATGCCTCATTGTATCATAATTTGGATTGGTCTTGGCTATTTGTGTTTCTACACAGCTCTTTAGTTGATGTAAGATACCATCAAAACAATTTCTAATGATTTATTTGTGATTTTTAAAACAAATCTCTACTTGTTTCCATTTTCTCTTATTTTGGTTGTAACTCAATTTAGTGTAATTCAATTTTATTTATATAGCACCAAATCACAATGGCCACCTCCAGATGCTTTATACTGTAACATAAAGACCCTACAATAATACAAAGAGAAAAAGAACCCCATTAGCAAGCACTTGGCAACAGAGGGAAGGAAAAACTCCCTTTTAACAGGAAGAAACCAGGCTCAGGGAGGGACACAGATGTAGGGAAACTGATGGGAGACTTTACCTTGACCACCACCACCTGTACGGAGACGTGCTCGGGCAGCCTGATTGGGGCCTGGAAGTGCATAGCGAGAGCCACCAAAAGATAGATGATAGCCACCAGGTTCTTTGAGTGGATAGCTGTAAAAATAAATAAAGTGAAGATTAAACCCTCTTTCAAAGAGCGAGTTCACATAAAAATGTAAACAATTTTTGAAACTTTTGAAAAAACACCACTTTTCAAAAAGAAACACCGAAAACCTGCAGCTGACAAAGGATAAAGCACGACTTGGTGTAGTAAAGTCATCGTTAACAACACAAACTAAAAGTGCTGATGGACTCACATATTGTCTCTTGTGAGGGGGAGTATTATTCAGATTTTACAATCTTTTCTGTGGCTCTGACAGAAGCCTTTCAAAGTCTGAGAATAAAATCCTAATGATGATGATGACTCATGGTGATTATCTTATCTTAGGATGGATGCAGTTGAAAGATTTTTGTTAGGAAGTGAACATCTGATGAAAGATGATGAAAATTCCAAATATATCAACCTCTAATGCTTCAGATGTTTTCTATGTTCCTTAAGAGTTCTGTAATTCATGCATATCACTGAAGTCAGCACAAAAACTCACAGTCTACACTCCACTCAACGGTCCAGCCATGAGGCCTCAGCACATCGTTGACAGCTTCTAACACCGTCTGAAGCTTCTGTTTCTGGCCAATTTCTGACTGCGTCACCTCCGCCACGTTCAGCTTTCTGCCTGACAACTTTTCTGTCGCAAAAACAGGAAAAAGTTGTGTTTTACCACATAGAGAAAAGTAAGAAAGCATCGAAAAATTAGAAGCTAACAGATTAGGTCTAGTTAAAAAAAAAATGAAATAAATAGACAGAAATATCCTTTGCAGACAACAATGTGGATCTATAAATGCAGACTAACTCTGTGAGGCTAAATTTTCACAAAGAACCAAAGTGACAAAGGAGCGTGAAAACTAAATGCAAGAAATCACACATCAAAATTCACAGAAAATATTTTCTTGCTGTGCATTTTAACTGTTGTTCTTAACACTTCAGGAACATATGCAATTATGTATGCATTTTGTATGAACTGCTTCTAGATAGATAGATAGATAGATAGATAGATAGATAGATAGATAGAGAGATAGAGAGATAGAGAGATAGAGAGATAGATATTGTAACTGTTATACAATTAGTTGAAATGCTGATTTGTTAGTGTTTAACAGTTTTATACTGTAATGACAGAATCCAGTCACAAGGGGGGATCCAAAGACCTTACTAGACACTGCAGCACAATGAAAAAGACACATTTCAGGCAACAAAGGAGTGTTAATGTTGTTAACACAGTATATTAAACATGTATTTTACTATAGTGTAACTCTAGAGATGTTAATGTTTATAAAGTGTTCACAAAAATGTTTCTACAAGCAGAATCCTGAATTGAATTTATGATACTTCTCATCACATAATAACAACATAAAAATAATCAGACCCCATCTTATCTTAAAGACCACAGGGTATCATTTCACCCCAATAGGAGACTTTGTTCATAGCCTGCAGGCGTACTTGTAGTTCCTAGAGTATTTAAGTGTAGAATAGGAGGCAGAGCCTTCAGCCGGCAGGCCCCTCTTTTGTGGAACCAGCTCCTAGTTTGGATACAGGAGACAGACACCCTTTCTACTTTTAAGATTAGGCTTTAAAACTTTCCTTTTTGATAAAGCTTATAGTTAGGTCTGAATGAGGTGACGATGAATGCTCCCTTAGTTACACTGAATTAGGCCACGGTTGCTGGGGACTTCCCATGATGCACTGAATGTTTCTTCTTCACTCATCTTTTTCCCCCCTCTCTCACCCACTATATCTTTACACACTAGTTACTACACTTTAATCATCAGTTGTTAGTAATCTGTCTTCCACAGTGTGTCTTTGTCCTGTCTTCCTCCCCTCACCTCCAACCAGTGGCAGGAGACAGCTGCCCCTCCTCAGCCTGTTTCTGGCAGAGCTGTCTTCCTCTTAAAAGGGAGTTTTTCCTTTGCCATTGTCGCCAAAATGCTTGCTCATAGCAAGCTGTTGGGGTTTTCTTTGTTTTTCTCTGTATTATTGTAGAGTCTTTACATTGCAATAAAAAGCACCTTAAGGCAACTGTTGTTGTGAGTTGGTGCTGTATAAATTAAATTAAATTAAATTAAATTAAATTAAATTAAATTGAACTGAACTGAACAACATTCATGCTCAATGCTCAACCAGGATAATATAACTTTAGTGGGTATTAATTCAGCTGTTTTTTTAAATTCAATTCAATTTTATTTATATAGCGCTAAATCACATTAGCAGTTGCCCCAAATTTATACTGTCACTATTAGAAGATAACACTGCAGTACTACTTCAATAAGAAATCATCATGCAATAGGAAACTCTCGAATATAACCAATGTTTGGTTTATTGAAAATGCATAGTTTAACTAAAGCAACAGATTGCAACAACCAGCCAATTACACCATCCATCATTGTGATATATTTTGTTTGTGTTAGTGCAGCTTGTTCTAGCATTAATGTTGTGCTGTTGTAAGTTTGATGTTAGATGAAAGTTTATGATTAAACCCTGCATTTTCAATACACTCAGTGCTGACAGAGCGCATTTATTTGATATTTTCTAAAACTGCAAATATTGTAAATCATGATCAGTGATTTTGAGAGGAATCACTCTCACCAAATAACTTCTGGAGTACTTGTCCATCATAACAGTCCTCCTCTAGGTCCTTGACTATGATCCTCTCTTCCTCCAACTCACTGTTGATCCAGTCGATCAGGACCTGGATGCACATCAGAATACAATCGAACTTTGAACAGTTTCTGTACTCTTGTTCTTCTCGCATGATTTTGTCATTGTTCTGATCGCACTGAATCAATGCAGAGATGCTTATGCACAGAAGGTTAAACCAAATCTACCTTTAAGAGATCTTTAAATTTAGGATTTTCCCTTGATGTTGGGTCCAACATGATCCTCTCAGCATTTTCCTCTGTGGAAAACAAAATAATTGTTTATACTAGCATATATAATTTTTCTTCTTTCCAACTTTAAATGTTTTAACAGCTTTTCAATTGTAGGCATAATAATGTCTCACACAAGTACAAACTTCAAGCCACAAAAATTGAATATACAGTGTTCACCCTCACACTCCTGTCAACAGTGATTCACAGTGAAGACAAAGGCGTTTCCACTCCACCCACTTTCATTTCCTGCTGCTTCACTGTCAAACTCCCCATTAGTCAACATGTGTCAACATATTCATATTATGGTTTGTAACCCCAGTAACCTCTGACACCCAGCAGCAAAAACAGCATTTTGTTTTTGCACTGAAGTAAGATTAAGTCCGAAATGAACACAAATAAAGGTTACGTCATATATTATATTATTGGCGGTGATTGCATGTGGTTATTATGTACATACCCAGCAGTGTATCTTCTGGATGGATGTCTGTGCCTGAGGGAAGCAAGGGGGCATTGATGGCATTCTTTCCCTCCTCATGGAGATCACTCACTTATTGAAAAAGAACAACACACAAAAAACTGTAAAACCTGTAAAACGTTCTGGCAAACAGACAGTACAGAAGGTGCAAAGACTCTGGGAGAGAAAGAAAAGGTGGAGCGAATGAGAGAGCAGAAAGCAAACACTTGTCAGGGTTACTGGTAAGTAGTAACCCAGTAATCCTGGATCACCACAAAAATTCATGGGGAAAGCGTGGTGCCAGTTTGGTCTCTATTTGCTGGGTGTGCTCCGCCCCTCTAATGATCTGTTCAGCCGTCTAGGCAATAGTTTCACTTCCACACAGTTTTGACTTATCACTTTTAAACATTAGATTTTTTTTGACAGTTTGAGATTTGATGAAAGAACAATATATGAATTTACAGACAGACTATTCCTTCAATCTTATCCTCGCCGTTTCGTAAGAAGCTTTGAAAGAATTGCACGCACAGGACGTTTTCTTGGTTTCAAATATTGAAATTGATTTGACTTGGAGCTGGTGGCACAGGTGTCACACATCTGTAACTTTCTCAATTTTACTCTTTGTACTTTTATTCATTAGGAAAAAGCTAGAACCCCTACTTTACATCTTAATTTTAGAGTAAGATGTTGCGTTTTTTGTTTTTTTAAATTGGGTTGGGGAAAATTGATCACTCCAGCTAATTAAAACAAGCAGGGACTCCAACACTTATAAATAACACACACTTTGAGTCTAGCTTTTAATAAAATCAATTTCTTCTAAGATGCTTTCACTCCCGGCTACTGTGATTCTCCAGGGATTTAAAGGCTTTTTAGCCCTAATGGCCACATTGCCTTTTATCTTTCTGCAATTTCACTTTCTAAACCACGCAAAAGGCAGGACCACAATCAGTGGTCTCAAATCTGTCACCTCACCGACTCACTGTTTATAAAGCAGCTCAGGGTGGCTGAGGAAAACATGAGAACAAAAAAAAACTGTCTGCCCTTTAAGGTTTTCATATTAGAAGCATTGGACAAATTTCTCAAATTGAGAATAAAATTAAACAAAATGTGCAGCAGCGTGCTACAATCTGAACAAAATGATAACTTCAAAGCATGAGTGAAGGGAGGATAAACACAATTAACCCAGGAGGAAGGGTCCTTGCAGCTTTATTATCTGATTCAGCCTTCTCACAAGAGCCGATAACTGGATAAAAGGCTGAATCTCTCTGCAGATCAGCAGTTTGCTTTGTAATTACAGAACTGCTTTGCTGCATTTTATCATAATTGTGCTACTTCCTCCTTTCGTGTCCCTCTGGCTCCATTGCTGCTGCTTTTGGGTACAGCTTAGTTGCTTTACATTCACACCAAAAAAAGAAAATCTCTGTTTAAAATGGTCAGATTATTAAAGATAACTCAATTACTGCAGCAGATCTATACAGAAAAGTAAAAATACTTGTAACAACCGAAACAGCACACTGCTGCATTTAAACCAACACTGCACTAAGGTAACAGGTTCTGGTTCCCCTTTCCCACATCCAGCTTCCCTAAACTCCAGCATGAAATTCACATTACCTTGTTGCTTCCTCTTGGTCCCACACAGGAGGCCCGCCATGTCCTCACAACAAATCAAGAAATCAACCGATTTGGTCCGAATAGCAGTGAGGGAAGGTAGAAAAATCAGGAGTGTATGTGTGCGCAGCAATTGTGTATATAAGTGTGTGTTTGTGTGTGAGAGTGTGTGTGTGTGTGAATTGCAGTCGGTGCAGCTGAGCGTCAGGGGCGTCATCACGTGTATTTCTGTCACAACCCTCCACCCCACCTATGCGGTCCAGTTACAGGAGAGGCTGAACGTAATGTCCGTGTGTGTGTGTGTGTGTGTGTGTGTGTAACAGAAAAAAAGACACCACAGTGGACCTAAACCCACCACATCATCCCGACACACTGGCTGCCACTGGGATATTAAACCATGGACAAAGACAAAGGATGACCGATGAGGTATTACAATCACTAATTTACTGTAATGTGCAACCTGTATTATAACTGCAGCATAGTGTTTAAACACTTAAAAGAGCATTTTCTAAAATGTTTTGTCTACTGGTCAGTAACTAAAGGTTACTAGTTACAGTCTAATCTTTTCACAACAACATAAGAACTAGTACACTGGTTTCAGGGCTCGATTCTCAGGCTCATTCGGAGCCTGTTGTAATGTAGGAGATTATCAATCAGGCAGTGACTGTCTGTTAACAGTACACTAATTCAATACAAACAAAGCCTGCAGTCAAGAACGTTTATCTTACGCCAGCTTCACTGGACGTATTCGAGAAAAAAATCTGCTATACTGCAAAGCGCCATGCAAACAGGGAACAGTGATCACTCAAATCAGCAGAAGCACATGGTCAAATTTCTTTTGCTTTAAATTAAAAGAAAACAAAAAGCTGTTATATGGATAACCAGCCTCTATCAAAAATAACAGCATAAAGCAGACTGAAATCGACTTGTGTGGCTCCACAACTCCCTTAGGGGGGGTGGAGTTCTACTGACTCACAGGGGAAAGATATAAATAATGCGGCAGTATGGAGAGGACAGACTGGGCCTTAAATATAGCTCTGGTTATTTACAACAGCACAGGCACCAGTGAGTAACAGCAGCAAGGAGATCACACTGAGCTCGCTTCAGCGGCTTCTTTCTATGGATATTAAAGATGACAATTTCAACTATTTAGCTCAATAAACTACACGTTTTATTTACTTGTATTTACTCTGTCTACACTTGCATATACCTCTTCTTGCTCCTCCTGAGCTGTTCTGTTAATTTCTCTCCTGCTATAAGGATGTTAACGTGTTCTTTTTCTAATTAAAGAAAAGGTCAAAAGGTAAAAGGAAGTCCAAAGCTATTTAATCCAGGATAATTTTTTCAGGAACAACATATTAGCAGAAGCATACATCTGCCAACTCTTAGTGAATGTAGCATATGAGACAATATTAACGAGCCACTTTTATAGAAGAAAATGACATTTTCAGCACTCTCCAATGAGTACTGTAGTGCTTGAATTACTTTAACAATCCCCATGTTGGTACTAACTGTGCACTGTTGAACGACATTTTGCAAAAGCTCCTATTAAGAAACTTATAAATACACTTTTTTTTTTTTTGCTCTATCTTTCAAGTCTTTATGCAACAGGATCTACAGGAACGAGCCACCCTGATCAAGTACTTGCACAACTGCTTGAAACATAAAATACATTTTGTGGAAGCTAAACTTTTAAATAGCAAATATAATGATATTTCTAAAAGCAAATCAACATTATGCTAAATATATTCTGTGTTTAGCAGTTTTGTATAAGCTGCACTTTAAAAATATATAAATATACGTTATAAAAAATGTGCTTTTTAAAAATTAAAAAAAAGAGGAAATAAAGAAAATTGAAACACATTGGTAAGAAACACTGATCACTTACTGTTGTCAGCATCCATCCTACGACAACAAAGATGTGACAAAGTCTTCTCATTCCCTATTCACTTAACTATCATTGTTACAACATGCCTTATGCTGACAAAAGGAAGTAGCCTTGTCAGTGAAAAACAGACTTCCTGTCAGCTTATCAAGGAATAAAGACACACTTGTTCTGTGTGAGACCAGCTCCAGAAATGCAGGACTATGAGCCAATATTAACTATCCACATACAACACCCCGGGATTGATTCTTCAAGTATCTAAACTCTTTTGAAGGGAAGGACTTCCATTATTCCACAATAACATTCCCTAAATTGGTGCTTTGGTGATGGTGGTGCAAAGCATAGTATTTAGCTCTTAAATACATCCACAGTGACCTGTTTGAGGTTAAGGATAGGTTGAGGCTTACAATGCAATTTTTACCTGATTGGGATAACTCAAATGGAAATCTTTAAAACCATGAACTGTAAAACTAAAACGCATGGAGCTTACTGCAAATAAAATGTAGTGCACTTCCCTAAAAACACAGTCATTTAGCATGTTGCTACAAATATAAATGTATTTATATGTGCGCCAATGAGTTCAACGGTACACATTTAAATACACATTTTCATGCAGCTAAATCTGATCCTGGAACAGACCACTCCCATCAAAATTTAAAAAAAAAAAAAACAACAACAACAACAACAACAACAACTTTATATTGTGTTATAGAAGCACCATCTCTCTCTCTCTCTCTCTCTCTCTGTTTTCCCCCCCCCAATTTTTTTTTATTTACAGTACACGTTGCATTACATCGCCTTAAGCAACATCTTTTAATTGAGTAAGAGGAAGCGGTGCTGAGGAGTGCAAACTCCCATCGCTAATTATTCATCAGAAGTGAAGCATTTTTCCAGCAACAACTAGTCTGCTGGGCGTTTTCTTTAAGGGAGATAAAGCGTCACACCCGCAAGTAACAGAAGCCCCAGTTACACACTGGGGCTAGCAACACAAACTTCACATGCCTTTCTTTTGTTATACTGATATTCCCTTCAAACGTCACTATGACTGCCTCCCTTGCACAGAACTGCGTTTTATGTGAGCTTTAATAGCCACTGACCACACAGGGGCACTGCGCTCTCACTGGTTCACTGGTTCTGTGGCTTTATTGGATTGGCTGTCCACATCTGAAAGAGTCATCACATGTAGCAATGAGAGCTGCGTGTTGGTGAAATTAATGTGAGGTTCTGGAGCTTTTATAAGTTAACTGTCACATTGCTTTGCAGCTTTCTCTTTACTCTTTACCAATCTCCTATGGATGCTAAAAATCAGGAATGGCACAGCAACCATGAAATCTGAGCAGTATGACTCTGAAAACCAAAAACAAAGTAATATATAAATTACTTGTGAGAAATGATTGCTTGGTTGTGCAAGTTATACTGATGGACAGCAAATCTAGCTCACTGAAGCAGAATATGCTGAAGCTTTAACCTCAAGTTCAAACAGCAGGACTATTACTGTGATTCACAGGACTCCACCTCTCAGTTATCATCTAATTAACTCCCTCAGTAGTCATCAGCACATTTCTTTTTTCTTTTTTAACCTCCTTAAAACTTACCGTTTTATTCGTTGTGAAAAGTAAGCAATGAAATACAGTACATTGAGACTGTAACTAATAGTTACTCCACTATTAGGACGGGAGTTACAAAGAAAGATGCAGAAAGTGTCTAACCAGACACAACAATGCAAACGTGTTCCATCTAAAATCGCATGAATCTGATTGAAGACAACAGATCTACATAGGTTTTGGACATTTTTGCTTAACCCTTCCTGAGCCCTGGGACCATTTTTGTACATTTTAGTTTTTCAGTTACAAGCCATTTGCACTGTGTTGAATGGAATATAGCCAAATTCTCTAAAAAAAAAAGTTTGGCATAATTTCATTTCAAAATTCAAGTCTGACTTCCTTAATCAAATGTCTTGGCAAGTAATAAATAAAACAATTTACTGAAAATCTAACGCGTAATCTATTTTCTGTAAATTATTTTGTGAACTATTTTCTGTGTATTTACAGTGACACCATGTGCTTCATTTTATGCATATTTAAGCAAATTAAAGTGGTTTGAGGGTCTTAAATACTCTTTAAAATGGGACTCCTAACCCATTAAAATGCCTCCGTGTGCCTTCTGGCGACCGCCCTTGAGTGGAGATTACAAACACATGGCTGGAGAGCACACATAGAAAGCACAAACACTGTAATGCACACACAGGCGTTAAATTTCACAGCTGCCTCAGGGACTGTTGTGGGAGATCACAAAACAGTTGATAATTGTGACTAATCCTGCTAGAATAGCAATGATACTCGTGTTTATTTTCATAAACCTGGATTCCGGTCTAGTGTGCGATCTATTTATATGTACTTGCCTCATGTGCCAAGCCCGTGGACTTGCTGCGAAGCTTTGTGTCACTCTTCATCACAAATACATTGGGTTTCCTTGACTCGTGTATACGTCTTTAACTGTATCTGAACTACAATAACACAGTTTAAACTTAAAATCAGTGAATTTATCAACTGGCTACAATAAACAAGGGGAACAAGAAGCACGAGTCGGGTTAAAGCAACACTGAACACCTCTTGTTAGAAGTCATGCGAACAGTCAGTGAATCAGCTGCGAGTGATGCTCACGGGAGAATATTTCCATAGCGCAGACTGCAGCACCATGGACAGAAACACGAGCAGGAAAAAGAAAAATGGGGATCTTCCATCATGTAAAACAAAAATAAGAAAAACAAAACTTCGAATGGCCCACCTTCTTTGGACTTTTTCTTCCGGACCAGGGTTCCTCCTAATTTCCCGAGAAAGGACTCGTCCTTTTTCATTTTTGCGGTCTGAGGGTTCGTAGACACGGTCGGAGCCCCGGACATGTTTGTGTGTCTCTGTGTACCTAAGCTCCCTCTCTCTCCCTCTCACAGTGCTCCGTTAATAAGGCTCACTCCTCCCTGTGCTGCGTTCAGGCACAGGAAAAACGGTCCAGGAAAAAAGGAACAGGGAGTAAATATAAAAAGTTAGATTCTAGATTTATGCTTAAAATGTGGTGAAAAATTACATTAAAATACAATATATAAGATCTGCCTTTCTATGATCAATGCCAAACCTTTGAACTGTATAGTTAGTGTGATTTATCTGTCAGCTTTCCCATCTGTTTGTATCTAACTCTGGATCATGAGGAGGCTGACGTCTTTCCCAGCTGTCACCCAGCAAAAGAGGGCTACACCCTGGACCTGTCACCAGTGGACTGCAGGGCCGACACATATATAGACCAGCAGAAAAGAGGTCTCCTTACTTGAATGAATGAAGACTGAAAGGCTCTAAAAACTGTTAAATGTGCCCTCAAAGGTTGAGAGTGAGCATGCAAGCCTACTCAAACAGCTTCCCTGGTGGTCAACAACACCTCTGTGAGGAAAGATAGCAATACAATGCCGATGTTCAAACCACAATACTGATACCTTGGGGCGAAAAAGTACAAAAGCAAAAAAACAAAACAACTATTTGGCAGCCATTTTTTTCTTTTACAAATGTAACATTTATTACAGAGAATATCAAAGTTGCTTATGAAAACTTCATGTTAAATTACATGACGTGTGCTATACAAGACACAACATTTCAATTTACAGCAAAAATCAGTCAACTATTCAATCATGTGAATGGCACAAAAAAAAGAAAGTATAACTATTTTGATCAGTGATTGCTTAAATAATTTTTATATTGCTGTAAAATTCATTAGCTCTTCGCACTTGGCTATGTCTCCTGTGAAACTGATTTTGATCCAAGTGGAACTTCCTGATAAAAGAAATGAAAATTCAAAAAATCCAAATGTAACCAGCAGAAAACTGTTGTGACAAAAGAGATAAATGTCAGCTGGAGATCTGTAAACGTCATCATCTTTGTTTAGTCAACAAGGCTGATAAAGCTCATACGCTGATACAACAGTACAGGTTAATCCAGCTTACCAAATAACTTAAACACTGTTTAAGTCATTGAATAGATTTTTTTTTATGAGACGGCAAAAGCTGGCGTTGATTGTGATATTGCTTGAATGAATATTATAACACATGCATAATTTCTAAGCAGCAGGACAACTGCTGTCATAATTTACCAAAAATAAAGTATCAAAAAGTCCATGACACCCTCCATCCTCAGTCTTCATCACTTCTTTGAGTTTGTGGTGCTGTTTTTAGAAGACAGAAAGTCCCGTTAATACAGTAGCAGTTATTCTAAGATCTGTGGATATTTATGTTGATTTCAAATGTGATGCTGCTGCACTCACCTGTGGTCTGAAGGAATTTCCAGTCTGCCTGCAGCCTGTGTCTCAGCTTCTCTATGGCCTCCGTGTCTTCTGTTAGCGGGGCTTGAAGTTGCTTCAGAGAGGCGGCTGGGTTACCGAGGAGGGAGGATGCTGTGAGTCCGATAAGCGCCTTCTCCTCCTCCTGAAATTAAGAAGTAAATGAATTAATACTGAACACTAAGTATGCAAACATGCTGCCAACTCCTCTTAAAATGCTTCTTAAGGTTTCACAATATAGCAAAATTAGAGAACATCTACTGTCTTCTTCTTTCAGCTGCTCCCTTTAGGGGTTGTCAGAGTAGATCGTCTGCCTCCATATCACCCTATCCCTAGCATCCTCTTTTGTCACACCAACACTTTGTATATCCTCCACTACCTTCATCAAAGACTCCTTCACTACATCCATCCAACCATATATCTCCTGCCTGGCAGCTCTACATTGTTGAAGACATCTAGTGTGCCTTTATGAAATCTTCCCCAGCACTCTTACCTGCAGTACCACCAGTGTATGTCCAAGTGCAAAGCTCTGCAGTAGGCCAATTAGTTGTTGCCACAAACTGTCACTGACTCCACTATCTGGCATTCGAGCCAACACAACAAGACCGGGGTCATATTCATACCCAAGGGGCAGGAGGAGGCCAAACACAGCCTGTGTGAACCCTGACGTGTCACTGCAGCCCTGTGGGTGAACAAACAAATGCATTTAAACACATTTAAAAAACAAAAGCAAAAAAAAAAAAAAACCTACTCAAATTGTCTATGCAGAAAAAGACATCTCAGTCGCCTTTAAGAGCTGTATCATAAAGGTTTCTGTCCAGAAATCCTTAGCAACTGTGTAATAATTCAGAAACTCTGAATATTTAATGATGCAGTTTTAAAGGAAAGGGGGCTAATGCTGACTAGCGAGATGTGTGAGTGTATATTTCTGGCAAATATTAAATGTGATTACAAAGCAAGCAGCAGTACCTTCTTCAGACACACACGAATGTAATATTTGCAGCTCCGTTCCTCAGTCTGTGCACTGCCCATCTGCACCACAAGTGTTTCCCTGAAAACAGAAAGACTTTTTCAGCATGCTGTCCTCGCCGTTATGGACAAATAGTGTGTTTTATTGCATCAATTGTGCCTTATAGTTTGGTTTTACTAAGACTAAAACAGAGAGCATAAATGATACTCGCCTGTCTTCTGTAATATGGCTTGGGACATTCCCGTCACCCACACAGACGACCAAAACGCTGCATATATAAAGACAAGTTTTAACAAAGCAGATTGCAATCTTGCTAATAAAACTTCAATATACAAGCGCACTCCAGCGGTATATTTAGTAGGCTATATTTATCATGTAAACTTGCACCTCTGTAGTTGTGCCATAGTTGTGCTTTGCAAGTATCTTCACTTCCAAGTGATATTTTTTTACTAATTTTGCAGTTACGTCCTAAAATCTGTCTGTATAAATAAAATGACTTCACTTGTTCACAACACGAGAAAGATAATGATATTTTATTTAGATTATTTCACCAAAAAGTACATAAAAATATTAGTTCCAAATAACTCCCAGATATGCATGGATTTAGGTTAAGTGGTGATTCTAAATTTGCTGTAGGTGCAAATCTGAGCTACAATAGTTTAGACTGCATTTCCTTTGCAAAGTGACCAAGCATATTCTGTGTATGTGTGTGTTTCCTGTAAGAATATTTCTAATCATTTTTAATCTCTAGCTGATATTTAAAAAGAGCAGAAGGTGTAAGATTTGATTAAGTCGAGGTTGTTATACCGGTTGCTGAGAACAGTTGTAACGTGCTGGACAATGCTTGTCATCGCCTTGGTAACGTCAGGGACCAGTGCAAGGCCACTGCAGATCTGAGAGCCGGGAATTAAAATTATATCATGTAGGCAGCTCAGCAAAGCACAAACTGCATTTACAAGACATGATATCATAATAGCACTCACATAAAAGAAACAAACAACATTATGGCTTTACCTCATTCTTCTCCATTTTCTCTGTCAGGGCTATAAAACTGGAGACGGTTATAAAAGCAGTACTGTCATCTGCGTCTCTGAGGAAACTCTCCCTTGTTTTAGAGAAAAAAAAAGATTTCAAACCCAGTTACGGTGAAAACCATGAACTGAAATGAGCCACAACAACCCACTTATCCATACCTTAACTTGCTGGCTAAGAGTGGGTCAAGATCCTCTGAGAAGCTGAAGCGTTCGCATCCCTCCGGGCAAGCCACGTCATCGGGGAGCACTAAAGCAGCACATACTGGAGGAGTGACGCGTTTTGGAGGTTCAGGCCACACCTTTTCCTCCGCGTCCTTTTCTTCTTCTTCTCCCTTCTCTGTCGTTTCTTCTCCTTCTCCTAATTTAATCTGTTTGGTGCTGATGGTGGAGGCGGGCAGATCAGCTGAAGAAGGGAGTAACTGTTTTGAGACCATGTCTTTTATAGTGATGAGAAGTTCAAACGGACGTAAACGTGAAATACAGCTAGCAAACCCTCAGCTAAGTGATGCTACATCACTCAGTTTGACTGAGGATGGAAACAAGTTAGAAAGAAATGAGGTTATCAGACTCCTGCAGCCTCAGGTCCCTTAAAGGCTCTGCTAAAGGCTCTGTTATGGTTACCTGCGTGTTTGAGGCACGACCAGTAGGCCTTATGAGCTGATCGGACACACTGAAGAGATTCAAGTGCACTGAAAAAGAAGAATTAAATTGCTGCAGTTACAAAACACACAAACTTTGAGACACAAATTTGACTGATTGTGATGCACACCTTATACAGGGACTTTTGAGGCTTGCAGGTCTCGGCACAGGATCTCCAAGCAATGTCTGGACTGTCTGACACACAGATTGGACGAGGGAAGTCAAGTTGTATCCCCCCTGGAAAACACAAAAACACAAGTTCCCAGACAACAGAACATTAACAGGCTGTTTTCTTGTTTCCATGTTTTAGCTGTATAGGCTGGGCGGCCTGACCTCCAGCACAGCACACAGTTTTCCTCCTGCTAGGTTCATCAGCAGGTGAGTCAGATGGGCAAAGACATCTGGAGTGGCACACATCTCACCCTAAATGTAAGTATAACAGTAAGCGAGTGGATGCAGAGGTTTATAGTGCATGCATGTAATTAGATAATGACATTAATAAATATGTCATACCTCTGGGTCACCGATGGCTGAGTCAAATCCCGCACACACCAAGACTAAGTCTGGGCAAAACTATCAAAAACAGTTGTATGCTTGAACCAAACATTTTATAGATCACCTGCCTTTAGGTAGGAAAAAAGTAATTTTTGGAATCGCTCACCTCATATGCAACTGGCAGAAGAACGTGACAGAAGACTGACAGATAGTCAACATTTTCCATGCCCACCTGAAATATCATGATGAGGTCTTTTCAGTAAAAGAATAAAACACACATACAGCTTGTACACACACAATCAGGAAAGCAAATAGCATGCATGTACACACTACCACAAACATAACCTCACTGGTGGTGGCATTATGTGACACTGTGAACTAGGCTTAAGATAAAGCAAGAAGCAAATAGAAAAAAAACCCATAATGAAACCATAAGTGTGCAGTATTTCTGACCTTGTTCCATGGTACATTTATATTGAATCCTGCCCCTTTCTCTTTGCCAACAATGTCGTAGTCAGAATCTCTCAGATGAGGCCAGAATTTCTGATGCTCATAGCGGTGCCAAGAGAAGTAGAGCACGCTGTGAAAAGGAAAACAACAAACACAGTGAGCAGAATTTGAAACGCAAGCAGACAACATCTGCTTCTCCTTTATCAAAGACTCACCTGGGATCATCCTCAAAGCAATACTGCACCCCCTGACCGTGATGTATATCCCAGTCAACTATCAACACCCTGAAGACAAAATCTGAGGTGAATACATACAGCTGTGGATTTGTGGATCGTTAAAATCCTTAATGATTACCAGAATAAGCATAAAGACTAAAAGTCACATTACCTTTGGACTCCATATTTCTGCTTAGCATATTGAGCCGCTATAGCCACATTGTTGAACACACAGAATCCATTAGCAGCACTGCGCATACTGTGGTGTCCTGGTGGTCTATTAATAATAAAAAAGAAGCAGTTATGTAAAAAAATAAGATTTTACACTTGTTGTTGCCCACTTTGCCCATTAACTACTAAAAAGTTAATCACTAACAAACTAGTAAAAATATGAATTTAAATGTAAAGACTTTTAACCTGATATTTACATTCCTATTAACTCATCAATAATGGACAAAACAAAGGCACTAATACTGAACAAGCCATGAGTGCATATCAGAACTGCTGTATCTCAGCCTCACCTGACTAAAGCCATGCCATTCCTCACCTTCCCTGTCATAACACTGTCTACCAGCTGCAGTGCAGCACCAGCAGCAAGCTTGGCACAGTGGTAGATGTTCTAGGATGGTAAATGACATACAGAAGAGGATGTCAGATACAGATTTTCTGTTCCTGTTAAGCGGCTGTTAAGCGGGAGACTTACTGGGTGGAAGTAGACATCACCGTACTGACGAGTGAACTCCATAAGGTCCTCCAGACTCATGTAAGGAGTCTTCTTCACCGCCTCCAGGTATTCCTCACTGTTGAGAGGAGCAAAGTAAACACAGCTCAGTGAACTGAAACAAATATCTAAACTATATTATACCTTCATGACAGGAGTTAGATAAGATGACCTGTGAGCCAGAAGAATTTCTGCGTCCGTGGCCTCACGGACAGGTACGGAGACACAGCGATCAGCCAGGCCAGTCCTGACCAAAGTCTCATGACTCACAGTCAGACGCTCAGGCACCTCAATCTTACAAGCTGGACTGCAGGAAAACATTACACACTTAATGAATATTTGTTAATTAGAAAATAAACATGACACTGATCCATCTTACTATTCTATTTCTTTCAGCTCTTATATAAAAACAAGAAATATATAAAAGACACAGTGAGACATGCCAAATGAACTCTGTAGAAGTTAGATATGGAAAACAGCATTTTGCTAAATATGACTTTGTAAAGGAGATAACCAAAGCAACAGACTGTGCAGGAGAGAGGTGAAGAAGAGAGTGCACACAGGTGGAGAGGGTGCAGATGAATGTCAGGGGTGATTTGTGGCAAAAGAATTGCAGCAAGAGTGAAAGGGAAGGTTTACAAGATGGTAGTGAGACCTGCCTTTGATGATGACAGAGCTGAAGATGTTAATTCAGATGTTCATAGATGTAGTGAAGGAGGACATGTAAAGGGTTGGTATATCAGAGGAGGATGCTAGGATAGGGTGAAATTGGGGGAGATGTGGCGACCCCTAAAGAGAGCAGCCAAAAACAAAGAAAATAAACCCAGCAACACGGCACGGTTCAGACAAAGACATTTATTTCAGCAGTAGAACTGCAAATAGACAAAAGCTGGCGGTCAAAGCTCGTTGTCTTTCCAAAATAAAAGCATGAGTCTTAAACTTTAGAGTATTTTCGGCACATTTTGGCATCTAAGAGTCACAAACATAATAAATATCACAATTGCATTTACACATTTTTTAACTGCGAAAGTTAAACCATATGTAGACCTCAATTAGTCCAAAAGAAAACAAAAACTATTTCGCAACGTTTTTAAACAGGTGGTGTAGCAGCTATAGCGGGCCGGGTGGGTGTACACTGAAATCCCCGACCTGACTAAACGTGACCGAACAAAGTGCAACCGTAATAACCAAAACGGGTGTCTTCTCTAACTAACCGTGCCAGCAACAAGGAACAACTTGGGTTCCCATGACTTCTGACAGATCACACATTTTAGCCAGTGTTTAGTAATGGGAGAAAACTAATAACTTATTTGATTAAGTTACCCGTTCAGTGAAATTACAGTATGAAATATTTACTCCTTGATATACTTTAGGCATGCTAAGCTACAGACATTTGCAGAAAAGACATTTGAAGATTTTTCTTTTTAGCCACGTAAGCTTTATAAACGTAAACATGGATTTACTACTCACTCAACCCAGAGCAGTTTGTACTTGGTCATCTCGTCATCATAAATCAGCGCTGTTCCCATCTTCGTTATTCCTCGGGTAAGAATAGGTAAGTAACTGCGACCCTCACTATGAGAGTAGCGACGTTTCTGCAGACAGTTTCCAAAAGGACACGAAGTAAGTTTAAAATGAACCGCCGACTAATTAATTTTGATCCAACATTGGCAGATTTTTATGCAACATATAAACGAATACCAGTATAATACCAAAATTCAGTGACTGTACAAAACTGTTTACAGTTATTCATCGACGCATATGATCTTCTATGAGTTTTATGTTGGTTTTCACACAGTTCACTAGCGCAGCAGCGCCACCTGCTGGACGGGGTTCGATACTCGTCGTTCATTATCTGTCCCACTGATACCCAAAGTGACAGAATCACCGGATAGTATCAGTGCTGGGGTATCTTGGGTCATTTACAAGAAATTCATTAAATTTGAACTAAAGTCAGATTCGTAATTTCTTAGTTTGGGCATGGTTGATTAGTCTTATTTGGATACAAACCACAAAGGCAGAACTTTATCCTTAACTTTAACTCATTGTTAAACATACAATATATGAAAAAATAAATACAAATTAACAATATTATTAGTACTGTATCCTGTATATCCTTGGACCTATATTATCTTTTTACTATTGAAGATCTACCTCACTGCACTTACACTTTATATTTTTGTGTTGATTTTTTTAAGGTACATGGAGGTTCAAACTTCCTGTGGCTTCCTTAGTATTTAAATCAGTTATTCATGACATGTCTTGTTTGAGCTGTATGACTGTTTTGGAGACTGCTGTTTGAGGTGTTAAATGATGTCACATTGTACTGCTACTGATACAAATGGAGGGGCCAGAGTATTCGAAACACTTTAGAGAAGCGAATGTAACAACAGCACTGAAGAGGTAAGCTCTAAAATTTGAAGTAGCTTCATAAAAAAGTGAACATTATACCTGTGTGAAAAGTGTGCCTCCTGGTAGGACGCTGTACTTGCCCATTTAAAGTCAGTGTTCTTCATAAAGGGATTATAAATCTTTTATTTTTTTCAAAGGAAACTGAAAGAAATCTCCGTCCCAGGTCATCCGTGGATCGGGTTTCCTCCGAGGCGTGGGCACCTATAAGCAGAGTTTTTTCTTTACCCTATAAGATTCAAAATTATTCAAAGTAACACTCAGGCATGCCGTTCAGCAGGTTAGTTACGACGTCGGGAGTAGCTTGGGAGAACAAGGAAACACAGACTGCTTCAGGTTGCCTTCCCAAACCAACTCAAAGTTTATTCATCATACAACAGTTTATATAGAGGAAAAAGGTTCGTGTGTCAGCAGATTCTCAGTTCAAACCGGTACAGACCAAATAAGGAAGCGTCTTCCTGCCCTCTGAGCAAAGAAGTATCCTTTGTATAGTTTATCAGTTCAGCTACAATTTATGATTATCCCAGCGAAATACACTCCTAGACATAGAACACAGAGTTCTTTCATTAGTGAATTCTGAAACAAACCACCTGGCCTCTAACAAGCCTTTTTCTAAGAGATAAAGAAGGGAGGATGGGAGTAAGGAAGTGGTCTCTGTGGTATTTTCGACCTTGAGGTACCATCCTGTGATTCTTACACATTAATTCTTGGGTCACAGAGAAAGAGAAAAACAACTAGTAAATGGGCCTTATTGAGTAACAGTTTTCCTGTATAATATCACTATAAAACAATATCCTGTAAATGCTACCATGGTATCAAAATATCACAACAGAAACTTTGCAACAAATGAAAAAAAAATTCTTTACATTACTTCCTGACATCATTTTAATAATGAATAATAAAAACAGTTTAACAAAAATCAACAAATAATTCAAGATATACAGGAGTGCAAAATATGGAAACAGTTCATGTTACATGAGAAGATTTGATTTGACCGGAGAGGATGTTTTGCATGGAATCTTAATGGAATGGGTGGAATTTTTCCTGTGGGAAACAAAGCATCAGAAACCAGAATATATATTGCATGCCTTCTTCTGATGATAATATTTATTTTGAAAATACTGACATACGTACACAATGTCATGCATTCCATTTTATTTTCACTGTTCATTACATAGGGTTAGTGTTACTTAATTGTCAGAAAACATTGCACCCTGATATCTTGACTTCTTGAGTTCTTCAGGTGTGGCAACACCCATCTCCCTAACTCCCCCCTCCTGTTCCTCCTCTGTCCTGTCTGCTGTTTCTTCCTGTGTCCTCATGGGAAAAGCTGAGCTCTGCTCCCCTTTCTCTTCAACTCCTTCAGCTTCGTGCTCTTCCTTTCCCTTTGCTCCTTTTCTTTTCATCCTGCACAACACGAGGAAAGCTCCTTTGCATCTCTTCCTAAATGATGGGTCACAGGCAGCGTAGAGGAGAGGGTTCAGGCAGGAGTTGAGGTAGGCTAAACAGGTGACATATGGATGAGCAGCCAATAATATCTGATCTAAAGAGCAGGAGTATGGGACAAATCCAAACTCAAGCAGCAGGGACACAGTTTTATTGACATGGAGAGGCAGCCAGCACAGGAAGAATGCCATCACTAACGTGACAATGACCCTGAGGAGTCTGCGCTGCCGTCTACGGTCAGGACGAGGGCCCCGTCCGAAATGTCTGCTGAGTAGTTGGACCAGTGAGCAGTAGCAGACCAATAAGATGACAAAAGGAAGCAGGAAGCCAATAAGAGTTGATTTAATACTTAATGCAGCAGCCCACCACATCTCTGTCCTGTTTTTTTCTTCCTCCTCCAGCTCTGCTCCAGTCAGCATGGAGTAATCCATCTGGCAAGAAAGGAAGACAGACCTGGAATCAGCGGGTTCCAGCTGCCAGTCGTCCTCATATTCAGGGTCAAGCTCCACCTCCCGGACAGAGCGCAGCAGCAAACCGGGAAGTGCCAGTATTCCCGCCAGCACCCACATCCCTCCAAGTATCCACAAAGCCTTGCTGGGGCAGCTCCTTGGTGCATGGTGGCTGGAGTGCCGGTGCCTAGTCAGAACCCAGTAGCGCTCCACACTTAGCATGCTCAGGCTGAACACGCTGGCATACATGTTCAGAGCTGTGAGGAAGCTGCTAATCTGGCAGAGAGGTTGCCCAAAAGGCCAGTGGTAGCCCATCGCTGTGTAGACGGCCCAAAGAGGAAGAGTCACAAGGAAACAAAGGTCAGCTAAAGCTAAACTGGCAATCAGAGAGTCAGTCAGCGAGCAAGAGGGACGGGAGATGGAGGGAGAGCAAGAGGATGAGGTGGAGGAATGGGAGGATGTTCTGTAGCTTTGCCTGGAGGAAAATCCACAGTTTGAACTTTGAAATTTGCCAGTGTTGTTAATGTGCTGCTGACTGCTTCTAAAAATGTTGCTGCAGCAGAACTGGCCATCTTCTGCTGGCTTTCGGTCCCTTCTCCTCCTCCCCTTCACTCGGTCCAGGTAGGCCCAAAGCACCAGGCTGTTGCCAGGACAACCAACCAGAAATGCTAGCAGGTAGACAGATGGGATGATGAAAAACGAGGGAGACCAGTCACTGTAGTCACAGAGAGGGGGGTTGGTAGGAGCAGGGGAGGCGAGATAAGCTGGCTCTGACATCACTCTGTATATACTTGGTTTTTTATCGAAAAGGTTTTGGCATTAAAATCCACTGGTGTTTTTAAATACTGTAGCCAAAACAGCATAATATCTAGATGTGAAGAGACAAGATTCCTGCATGGTTTTAGGTGAAGAGGTCCAAATTCCAGGAGTGGATAAGCCTCCAGTTCACATCTGTTGATTTTGATGGTCTGGAAATTCAGTGAAAGATACAAATAGATTTTCAAAACTTTAGCTACACTCATTTTTGGGATTATGTAAATTTATGTTTTTTCCATGCTCATGCTTCTCCCGAAAATATATTAAGGATCATGAGGACCTCACTTTTTTCTATACAGCAATTTAAACACTTAGACAAACAATTTTAGGCAATTTTAACATAATTTAAAACTCATACAAGACAACAAACAGAATCAAGACTGCAACAGTGCACACTAAAACCTTAAGTAAGGAATTTCTAGGACCATGAGCACTTTCACTGTGATGACAAAACATGATTTAACTGAGTAAACATTTATAGCTTTCTGCTTTCACGTTCAATTCTGAAAGTGAATTCTGAGAATCTGCATAAAGCTCTCTCCAACTGGCGTGTTTTATAAATACATTTTTTATCTTGACTATGTGAAATAAGAGAGGATTTTGATGAAGACGCTTACCTTATACTTGCTTTATTACCTTGGATCAAACCAATTCACAGGTGCTTACAACCATGGTACGATAGTTGTTATACAGAAATCAGCATCATCCCATCTTCTCCTGCTGAACTTCCAGTCTGGGTTTTCTTCTGTCTCTCTCTCTATCTCAGCTTCTGTAACAACTGAAGAAGGTGAGTGTTTCTCTTAAGTCTAAATATACACCAGTGTCGCCTAAACACACACACAAGTAAACTAAAACCCAGAACCCTCCTTTCTCCCATTCTCCAAACTAGACCACCCCAGCAGAAAGTAACAAGACCTGCAAGCATCAACCCCCCCAACACAAACATACTCACCTCCCAAGAGACACAATAACTCCACTCATCCTTCCCCCCACAAACTCGAGATACACAAACAGAGTCCTCCGTCTCCTATACTGCTCGTATTCTCCATGCAAAGACACAAACAGATCCAAATGCACCTATAGTACACAAATACGTGCAAACACAAGCACCCTCTTTGTTGTCGGGGGTCTCACATTTGCTCTCAGTGGTCAAATGCGGCTACCCACACTGAGAGCAAATAACAGCCCTCACATTCATAGTCAGACTACAATATCAGAATAGAGGCAGCCTTCATGAATACAATGAAAAGGCCTTCAAGCCATTGATCCCTACCCAGTGTAAACTGGGACAGAAATAAGAATTTCCATGTGAAAGTACATCCAAACCCACAGCTGTGTTGCCTCATGTCTTATGGAAGCTGCTAAAAAGTCCATTAAAATCATGCTCAGCATGGATTCTGAGATCCTTTCTCAATTTCAGCTGTACAAACAGCATTATCAGTTATATTCAAAGGAGTAAGACACTTTGATCGAAGTAACAAAGTCAGTTTAGTCCAAGAAATGTATTCGTTTTATGGACTTATTTATCTTCATTCTGCTCATCCTTAAAGTGCATTTTCTCTTTTGGACTTTCTTCCTAATAATGAATATGGTAAACAATGACTCACACTGTTAGTTGTTATGCTTACGAAATGCAATAATAAATGATTAGGACTTAATAATAAAATCATTCCAATTTATAAGATGATAAAAGACTATCTTTAAGAGGTAGTTGGAAATGTCCTGTCTAAACCTACATATTGTAAGGAGGGAGGGATAATGACGAATGGGGTCAGCGTGGAATTACAGTGTAAATAGTGAAGATGTTAGGATAATAAACAGGAAGTGCGTGTTTCCACAGAGGTCATTCTGCCACTAACCTGTAGCTATGGGAACAGATGTTTCTAAAAAACAAAAAAAAACATTCCAGTCAGTCTTTTCTCTTATAACACACACACACACAAGCACACACATGCACACAGACACAAGCAAACACACACACATGCACACAAAACTTTACTGCTGAGAAGAAAGGAAAGGCAGAGTAAATACAAGTAAAAAGAAAACTGTAGGCTGTTGTGTGCTGATCTCAGACGTCAGTTTGCATCTGTTTTCAGATTTTATTCAGTCTACCTACTTGTATTTTTGCTAAAATGTCAGTATAATTCTTGTATTTTATCATGCCCCTCAATGCAATACAGCATAAAAAATAAAACTAATAACTGAAATGTGTTGTATTGTCATAAAGCTGTCCAGCAGTATATAAACACAATCATCTTCAGCTGCAAAATTAAAGCAATAAAGACTCTAATTAATCAATAATATAACAATTATGACCCCACATAAAGAGTATTATTAGATATTGATGATAAAAATGTTTTTTTTTTTACTTTAGTAGGATTAAGTAGAATTTTACCCAGATACAGAGCGTAAATACTTGTTTTTCCATTATTTCACTGTTTGTTTGTTTTTATAACAGTTACTCATTAGTCTACAAAAGGCGTGTAAGTGTGCAATAAAGTGCAATGCCACTTTTCACATTTCACCTAAATTCATGCATAGAGCTGCATATGAGCCTGAATTTCAGACCACTGTCATCAATTTCTTAAAACTATATTTCTCCTTTTATTTCATAGAGAATCCTTGTAAATCTAACCACATGTTTAGGATGCCTACAAGTCTTCCACTTGAAAAATGTTCTTTCGGCTTTGCTGTGCCTGTTAATTGGTACCTTTTTAAACATGGTAGTGGATCGTTTGCCTGCTGAAAGGAGAACAAGATAAGGATTTGCATAATATGCCTGATATGGAAAGAGCCACAAGACAGGCAAAAAGCACACAGCGGTAGAGTCTTTCATGGGGATTAAATGCACTGTGGAGAAATAGATGTTTCATCATGTCTGTCTACAGAACAGATCAAGCTTTCATCTGTCTTCTGATTGTCGTGATGGTAGGAGGCGAGGTGCAGGAAAGCCTTTCATCCGAGTGTAAGCAATTTTTGTATATGGGGACGCTGCTTCGAGGGCTTCAAGAGCAGTCGTTTAAAAAGATTTGCCAGTTCTATGGGGGTAAGCCACGATTTGTAACCCTCTACGACACCTTCAACCACATCCCTATTTATTCTGCCTACACCTTCAAGCGCTCAGACGGCTCCAAGAAAGTGGACGTGCCTTGGATGTATGAGCCGCAGGTAGGCAGGGTTGCTAGCTTTGCTGTCTGAGCCTTCAAATGTGTTCTGACCATCTGCCAAAAAATGGTGGTGTTTCTGTATTTTGTTTCTGTGTGTGTCTGTGTGTGTGTGTCTAATATCTGCTGATATTCTCATGCACTGGTAAATAGGCTGTAGTCAACAGAACAGGGTTATATATAAAATAATGACCTGTATTGCAAGTCTCTTTATGCCCGTTGTACAATATAATCAATCCAATGCCATTTTTTCTCTCTCAATATGACGTGATATCATTCATGACAAATATGTTGAGATACAGATATGTATGAGAGCTTATGGACGAATAGTAATTCACCACAGTTTAAATACAACTAATCATTTCACTTTTTGCCACTAGGTGCTTGTCACAAAGTTTGAAAATTGAAACTCCAGTTTTATCAATAAATGCACTACTACCACTGCTGTGAGGTTACCAGAAGGTCAAAAGTTCTTTTTTATCAAGTAAAATGCTGTTGCTGCAAAAAATTACAACCTGAATGTTCTGTTTTTGCTAATTCACTGTGATCAGTGCAAATGTATAGGTTATGTATGTTAAAATATATTAAAATAAACATAGTTGAACTAACACTTTTTACTAGCAGCATCTCAGCCTTTTAATAATCTTTTTGTAAATGATCAGTGAAGCCCATTTTCAGAATGCACACCCTTTAAATAAAATGAAGATGACACATTTAGTGTTGTTGCTGGTAATAAATAATATAAATATATAAGAAATCTAAATATCCTGTTTATTTTACAATTTTAACATGACCATGTTAATAGCTCTCCTCAGTGTCCGGCCCCAGAGACATGCAGCAGCTGCCTTCAGAAAATGTGCACGGGAGTTTTGAGGATGCTCAGGCTGTGCTTGAGGACTACTCCGACACTGTGATCTACGAACGCGGTCAGCTCAATCCAGACGAGCACCAGGCCGACCCTGACGACAAAGCAGCCACCTACACGTTGACAAATGTGGTTCCTCAGGCTCGTGAGTTCAACATTGGTCCATGGAAACAACACGAGAACACTATCCGCAGGAGGCTCAACAACTACTGCAGGGGCACCGCCTACGTGGTCACCGGGGTCACCACGTCGGGCCACACAATCCGCCGTCACAACATCAACCGTGTGGGCATCCCTACCTACCTGTGGTCAGCCTACTGTTGCCCTGATTATGACCACAATGCTCCGTACTCCGAGCGCTCCAAGTTCCCTGCGTTTGCATCTCGTGGGCTCAACGACAGAGAAAATAATAAAGTTATAGAGATGACGGTGCAGCAGCTGGAGGATTTCCTGAAGAGAGTAACTTATGTTGACAGCTCTTTCCAGATATTCTATGACAACTGCCTGCCTCCTAATGGTGCACCACATTTGTCTTAAAAAAATTTATTACATTTCCATTAGTGTGTAAAACAATCAAAATGTTTGTTCATCTTCACATTATCTCTGGCAAACCCATGCTCCTTATAAATTAAAACTACACCTGCCTCTGTAGGCCTTTTGTTCAGGACAGAGATTAGACCAGCTGTTTTACATTTTCTCGTACACCTTAACTACAGCAGTTCTCTGCACCTCAGTTTGCACTAGTTCTACAGCCTTAGAAGAGCATTTCTAGATTTTGGGAAAAGTACTCGCTGCTAATTGCTCTGACATTTGGATTTCAAACTGTACCATTAAATGCGAACTACACACAAAAGAAACCCCATTATGGCCATTTAATTTGAATATAAAAATAAAATCCTCTTTCTGTCTGCTACTCTATTTGTTTGTGACTGTCTATTCATTTTATTCAGCGTCTGGTATCTTTACTCGTTTTTTCACACAGGAGGTCACACATGATACAGTATTATAACATAAAACAGACAAGCCGATATTAACTCCATGAA